ACCTTGGGTCAAAGGTAATAATAATCACAACAGCAACAACAACAACATAGGGTGTATGTGTTTAACTCTTTGCCCCATTCAAAGTCCTGTCCTGCCTCACCTCCCCAGACCAGCCTTAGTGTGGACCCAAGTCCCTAGGTCGCTTCTGAGTCTTGCTGATTTAGACAAACAACCATGATTTTCTCCAGACTAGATTAAATGCCACCCGGGCCACGTAAGATTCACTGTCTTCCTGTGTGTCCTGTATTTTCTCTGATACTTTATATAGAGAGTCATTTTATGTAATCCTTTCAGCAACCCTGTGAGGAAACTTCTTGGCCCCATTTTACAGAGCAGCCGGTGGAGGTTCCGTGATGTTATTAACGTACGCAGAGTCCCAGAGCCAGGAAGGCTACGAAGCAGGTTTCAAACCCAGGTTTGCTGGACTCCAAACCCCATACTCACCCTACCCCTGTTAATGCTTCAGGGAGCCTTTCTGGGCCAGTGACTGGAAAAAGGCAGGGCTTTTTGCTAGAATTTTCCTAGGGACCCAGAACAGAAATACGCCACCAACGTTATGGTTTCTGCTAGGAAGCGGTGCTCAATGAGGTGCTGAGGCTGTCTGTTGATACACGCAGGGAAGCAAACATTTTTTTTTCTTTACCGTGTGTTTTGTTTTCCATAGAGAGCATTCTTTTTCTGACAGCCCCTTTCTTTCCAAAGTTTAGAACAGCAGCATATGCTCGCTAGAAGAGAGTAAAGGTTTCAGCAAAGCAAAGTTTTTGGCTGCCCCGCCCCTTTGCAGTTCAAATATCATTCGAAACATCTGTTTCTATTCTGTTTGCCTTTTGGAGAAAATCAAGGGGAGATATAAATAAGAAGCAAAAATGCTTTCCTGAACCAAAAAGCCCAGTACCTGGCCATCTGAAAAGATTTTGTTTGTTGAGACATTGCTGGAATGATAGAACACTTGTACAAACATCAATGATTAAGATTTAGCTAATAAAACCCCCCGAAAAGTCAGAGGTGAACTATTAAACACTACAGTGGGAGCTTTTTTTTCCCAGTGGATTCTGAACTGTTTTTGAAAACCAAGCACTTGGTGGGAACACAATTTACAAGATGGTAACAAAGTTTCCACAGATGAAGAAAGTTTAGAGTTTATTCTGGATCTCCACCTGTGGCGAGGGAAAAAAAAAAAAACAAAACGCCCAAAGAGAGCAAAAGAACATCTTTGTGGACAAATTCAGCTCTGGTGGGTGTTCGTGCATACAGGTGGGTGGCCATCCCTTAAGTCAAGGGTGTTGTGATTAGGATCAGAGCCCTTTTTTAATAAAGGCAACAGTGTGGAACAATAGAATTTCGTCATCTGAGTCTTGTTACATATATTCTTCTTTGCTTCCTTTTTTTTTTTTTTTTTATGGCTCTTTTTGTGTGTGTGGTAAAATTTACACGTAATGAAATGTCCATCTTAAGTAAATATTCCGGGAGGGCCAGCCGATGCACCTGTGTACTTCAAACCCTTGCCAAGACTTCCGACACTGCTCTCCCCTGGGGAAAGCTGCCATTCTGACTTGGGGTGTGTGTGTGTGTGTGTGTGTGTGTGTGTGTGTGTGTCCTGTTTTCCCGTTGATGGATACTCGGCTCTTTGCGGTTTTTGTCCAAATGAAGTTGTACGTTTTTGTGGATACGTTTTCTCTCGAGTCCGTGCCTGTGAAACGTTTTCTCTGGAGTCATTGCGTACGAACGCAATTGCTGAGTGGTACTGGAGGTTAATGTTTAGTTTTACAAGGCACCTGCCGGGCGTGTTTCCGGGATGGTCGTCCCACCTGACACCCTCCACTATTAACATGAGAGTGATGTCCTTGGTGCCATTCGATGTTAGCAATGGCGTCTCATTTGGGTCGCAGTTGGGATTCTCTCGTGACCCGTGACATCGAGCACTTCAGTACTCTCTGGCCGTTTGTGTGTCTTTGTGAACTGGGTGTTCAGATCTTCAAAGAGGATACACATGTATGTATGATACCCTCCAGCTCTCCGGGGTGTGGGGCCCCACTTACTTCATCTCTTCCGTCTATATTTCTCCCCCAAATGATGCTATCCTGCTTTGTTTAGTATCCTATTCCCGGTGCCTAGGATGGCCCCTGGCACAGAATAGGAGCTCATTTAAATAAACATTTGCTGAAAGAATCAATGAGTGAACAGATGAACTGACTTTTGGATCTGATATCCAGACACAGTTTCCTTGACTGAATGGCAGTGATTAACCAGGAAACAGAGAGAAAAGGAAATTTTAATGTTCTCCTTGAGCTATAAAGTACTCTTGGCACGAAGGTCTCAGGATACCTTCAGGGGATTTGCTCACCCGAGGGGAACAGATGCTAGAATATCTCACGAATGAATCTCATTTGACCTCATTTATGAACCGTCTCGTGCTTCTTGGGTTGTGACTGGGTTTGCTTGAAAGATGATCAGAGCCTCTAGCCTCAGAGGGTTTATGTGACTTAAACCAGATTCCACTGTGCCTTCGGCACCTAGCTGTTGGCTCCCTCTGGCACTGAAAATGCCTGTCTCCTACCCGACTGCCCCTTTGCTGGGTTACTGCCTCCCTGGCGGGGCCCCGCCCACCGATGTATGCTGCGTTTCTGAGCCCCCAAGGGCCAGCAGGGGGCTGGCTCTTTCCCCTTGGTCTCCAAGCCGTTTCCCTGGTCCTAACCCAGCTGGCTCCAGCCTCTCCTGCTGGGGGTAGACACCCGGTAATCATCAGCAGCGTCCGTTGTCTCGGAGAACTTGACCATGTATACAATATGTTCACACCCATGATCTCATACAAGGTCCCGAACGGTCTAGCTGTATTCCTCTTTGTTTTTTTTTTTTTTCCCCCAAACGAGGTGCTATAAAGAAGTAATTTAATTTGCTCCAGAGTATACAATTGCCCACATGTGGCCCCGAGTTTTCTCTGGGACTTGCTCAAAGAATATCAGTAACCACCATATGGGATACCCCCTACCCACTGCCCTAGGATCACTTGTTATTTAGGAAATGTCCACCCCAGACTGTACTTACTGGCTCATGTTACCATTTTTATTCATCAGAGTGTAGGATCAGGATCAGATAATCCGTGCCTGTACTGGCTGATTTTATTGCGGCCCACATAAAGACACTCGAGATTTGAATTTGCCTCCAAGACTCATGACTGGCACACTTCTGCTTCTGCGGGGCTTTTTGAAAGATGAGAAAGTTCACACGCTGACCCTTGGGGAAGTAGAAGCAGAGGGTAGTGCTTGTGAAAAGCAGCCTCGGGCGCTGGGACTATAGTCTGAGTCTGCAGGGAGCGAGCTGGGTGTTGCTGTCTCAGCGCTTGACTTCTGTGGTCGTGATCTCGAGATCGGGCTTCTTCCTGGCTCCGTAGAGAGAGGGGCTCAGTGAGCCCCTTCCTAGCACTTCCCCGGGGGCTGGGCTATCTGGGTTGTTTTCCACTGACATCCATAGCATTTGGTGAGAATATGCACTTACAGAGACAAAGGCGTTCCCCTAACCATTATCTAAAGGTGCACATGAAAAAAATGTTGTGACATTTATTTGAGAGAGAGAGAGAGAGAGAGAGAAAGAGAGCATTTGAGAGGGGGGAGGGGGCAGAGAGAGAGAGAGAGAGAGAGAGAGAGAATCCCAAGCAGGCTCTGCCGTGTCAGCACTGAGCCCAGTGAGGGGCTGGAACTCACGAACTGTGAGATCACGATCTGAGCCGAAATGTCGGGCGCTTAACTGACTGAGCCACCCAGGCGCCCCTAAAGGTGCACACTTTTATTTTTATTTTTTTTTATTTATTAAAAAAAATTTTTTTTTAACGTTTATTTATTTTTGAGACGGAGAGAGACAGCATGAACGGGGGAGGGTCAGAGAGAGGGAGACACAGAGTCTGAAACAGGCTCCAGGCTCTGAGCTGTCAGCCCAGAGCCCGATGTGGGGCTCGAACTCACGGACTGCGAGATCATGACCTGAGCCAAAGTCGGCTGCTCAACCAACTGAGCCACCCAGGCGCCCCAAGGTGCGCACTTTTTTTTTTTTTTAATTTTTTTTTTTCAACGTTTATTTATGTGTGGGACAGAGAGAGACAGAGCATGAACGGGGGAGGGGCAGAGAGAGAGGGAGACACAGAATCGGAAACAGGCTCCAGGCTCTGAGCCGTCAGCCCAGAGCCCGACGCGGGGCTCGAACTCACAGACCGCGAGATCGTGACCTGGCTGAAGTCGGACGCTTAACCGACTGCGCCACCCAGGCGCCCCAGGTGCGCACTTTTAAATGTCACGGAACCAGAACTTTTACAGTGTGTCAGTAATTGTTTTATTCAAATGACGCTTACAACGGGTGTATCCTAAAGGCAGCGTCTTTCTCTAAATTAGTAGAATTAATAAGTGTCTAAGTTTCGGTTAGGGATGACCGTTCACGTCATCGGTTATTTTATTATTTAGTTTATGTATACGTAGTGTATTATTTTACTAACACGCTACTGGGCTTGGTCTTACGTTGTAGGAGAGCCAGCAGAAGTCCACCAACGTCGTCTATCAGGCCCACCACGTGAGCCGGAACAAGAGAGGCCAGGTGGTTGGGACACGGGGCGGATTCCGAGGATGCACCGTGTGGCTGACGGGTATGTTGTGTTGATAGATACGTATGCATTTTGTTCATTGAACACTGGTGTGTGACACACAATTTTAAGGAACTTAGTGTAATATATTACACATATCACGTGTCTGTTTTAACACGGGAATGCGGCCGGGAACAGTGTGAAAAGCCTGGGCCTCAGCCCTCCCTCTGCCATCAGGGGGAACAAGGCCTCCATTAAGGCACTGAGCCTCTTCTTGGTTCACGTCCTCTCTGGCAGGAAAGAAAGGGACAGGTTGATGATGGCATTGCTTTCAGCTAGTTCTAAAGGATCCTTGTGCCCAAACACATTTACTGGCAGATTCCTTATTTGACAACAAGCATTTGGCTGTCTACGAAGTGTTGGATGTTTACAGATGTTCTTTATTGTTTTCTGATGTTTTAACATTGTGGGGAATATTTCGCTTCAAAAAAAAAGTAAGGTTCTGCATAAGAAGGAAAACCAGTGAACCTTCATTAGGCTGACGATTGCCCCTTGCAAATAGAAATAACTCAGTCCCGCGGAGGTGACCAAACGAATCTCCCTTTTCCTGTGTTTTTTGAAACATTTTTTTAACTTTTATTTATTATTGAGAGACAGAGAGACAACAGAGCATGAATTGGGGAGAGGCAGAGACACAGAATCCGAAGCAGGCTCCAGGCTCTGAGCTGTCAGCACAGAGCCCGACGCGGGGTTTGAACTCACGGACCGCGAGATCGTGACCTGAGCCGAAGTCGGCCGCTTAACCGACTGAGCCACCCAGGCAGCCCCCTTTTCCTGTGTTTTTATAGTCTCAGAATGTCCAAGCTGCGGGTTAGTGACAGAACAGGAATTAGTCCTGGGCTGTCACCTTATACTCTGAGTACAAGGCGCAGGACGTGGATCCCTGGGAGAAGGCCAGCGTAGCCCGGACTCAAAAGGAAGTACCACGCACCCGGTATTTCAAATAGACGCAAAGATGTTTGCCCAGGTTCTGAGATCAACGAATGTGTTCCCCTCTGCTCACAGATGCGGATTCATTCCGACCCGAAGGGAACTCTCAGGAATATGGCGGGCAGGACCCGCCTCACCCCTTCCCTTGCTGTTGAGTCTTTCCTGTTCCTGTCTCTATCAGCCTCATTCTTTCCCAAGTTTTTTCCCCGGTGCCGGAGGCACTTGCCTTTGGCTTCCTGGTTTCATCCCTCCGTGGCACAGCACGTTTTGCCAGCTGGCAGGGTGGGGATAGACAGCGGAGCAGGAGCTCGCTATAATCTGAACGGCGCTGTTCACCTGTCACGATTCCTGGACTCGCCCCCCAAATGCATCTCAGAGACACGCTGGGCAGCAGTAGACAAAACACGGCTGTGTGTTCCAGACGCTTCCCTCTTCTTACGTGTTTGCCTTTACGTGTTCAGTTTTTGTCCCAGGACATACACGCGGGGTCCGCGTTATCGAACGTGGAACGGCCTTAAAACCAAAAAGAGAACAGGTAGAAGAGGGAAGAAAAACCCAAAACCCTAAAGGATGCACTTCCCCTGTCTTTTTCTTACTCTTAAAAAAAGACATCTTTCCCCGATTTATTCCATGTTCTTAGGCTGCCAAGAAAGGCTAGTGACC